GGGTGGGTGGTGGTGATGGGTGTGTCTTTGTGTATACACACTAGCAAGTGTGATTTCTAGATATGTGTAAATTTTATGGTTACCTATGGGGAAGTGGTAAGTCCTATTCCATCAACCCAAGAGGACAGCAACTACCAGGTAAACCACAATGACATTAAAAATAGCATTTTAGTGATGATTTCAATCATGAACTGAAGCCCCAAACAGGCTTTTGAAGAGAAAGCAAGCCGCCAGCTTCAAAGGTTATTATTAGTGCCTGTCATTTAAAGAACATCTTTCTTTTGGGTTCACATTCGCTGGAGTCCTGGAAGATATGCAGGGAGGAAATGGTAAATGACTGGGCTCTGTGAATCCAGAGAAAGGAGTTTAGAAGAGATGAGAGGAGGGAGAAGCTCCAAGGGAGAATTAGGACTGAGAGGGGCCTTCTTTTACATTCTTCATTGTCAGAAGGACAGCTAAGGAAACAAGTCCCTGTTAGAATGACTACGAGGGAGAGGTGGGGCGTTCATGTTTGCAGGCCGGCCAGCACAAAGACATCCTTGCTATGCTTAGGGCCAACAAGGACACAAGCCAATGAACAAGGATGACAGGGCAGCACGGAGGAGAGGGTGTGTGGATTCCTCTGCCCCCCATCTGTCCACCCTGACAGTTGGAGAATGGAACCCCCAGGGATTAGGGGGGGGCTGCTGTGAGGGAGACAGACATGCTGAAGCCTAGATAGACAGCAGAAGTGCTGCTGTCAACATGGCTGTTCCGCTGAGTCTAGGTGGGCAAAGGAGCCCCTCTGCCTCTTCGAGCTGGATCCCAGGGGAAGCAGGAAACAGAGGAGGCTTGGAATATATGAAGAGAGCTAGCTACTCAGAGCTCAAGAAGAGGGTCTCAGGTGGAGTATTGAGAGCTTTTCCCTCATGCTTACATAGCAAAGGGCAGCCACTGCACAAGAAAAGAACAGTCAAGAAAGAGGGTGTAGGAGGTGTCTGGGAACTCCAGGGAGAAGGACCAAGTGCTGTTGCCAAGGAGACTGCAGACAGCATGCCAAGGTTTTCATAATCCCAAATCAGATCTGCAGCTCTGGCACAGACCCATGTGCTGTGCAGAATGAGGATGCAGGACACTGTTTGGGTGGAGTCATGGTGGGCCCTCAGGTCTGTGAATGGAGATTCTCAGAAAAAAATCAAGATCCCAGATAATATTAAAAAATATCAATGATGCTTCCCCAAGTGAAGCAGCTGGATGCATGTTATCCTCGCCCTCTCTTTGGAACTATGCTGGCATAGAGGTCTCCCTTTTTCATCTAGGGCTACACGGAGCGGGTCTTTCCATAGGACCTTCCTAAACTACCCTTCCCCCCCCATGCCCGTTCCTGTTACACCTGCCTCTCCCCCACTCTTTGGTGATCAGCTCCAACATAATGCCTGAGAATGACTCTTCTGGACATCCCATCACAAGAAGCCAAATGCCCCACCACTTCCACCCTGCCTGGCAGCTGTTTCTCCACTGGCTAACATTTAGGTGCTCCCTGTGTGGCTTTGTTTTGTTCATAGTATGTCTCCATAATTTGGTACAGTGCCTGGCACCTAACAGGTGCTAATCATATTTGGTAAATGTACACTAGGACATTCCCAGCAGAAAGAACCTTCAGGGTCATGAAATCTAAACTTGTAGAAATGGGAAAAGTTGGAACCATGCCTGGTGTCACAGAGCACGACAAAAACCCAGACCTAGGTGGCACAATTTCCCCATATCAGACTGACCTACCTACCTACCTACACTTGGCCTACCTACCATTCTCAAAACCACTTTTATCGCTCATCTTCTTCATCAAGCTCTCTCCTCCTTCACAGGGCTAGGCCTTGGAATGCTGACCAGGCCATTTAAAGCCTGCTGGCCTCTCTGGCCTCCGCTTGGGTAGGTAAAATGTCACATTGTGGACTTGGACCTCTTCCCACCAAACGCCAGAGAGTGTAGTTGTTGTGCCTCATCAAGGGTCCTCAGCACAGCTGTGCCCAGAGGTTGTGTCATAGAATCAAAAGAGCAATTGCCTGGAAATGAGACTGGCTCAAAATATCTCCAGTGTGACAATACAATTCTGTTACCAGCATGGAAAATTCAGTCCCATTAGGTCAGCTAATTGCAAATGAGTCAGTGACTGCTTACCCCCTGGTGTATGAGACCATTGATAGGGAGATAGCTAAAGTGCCTGCTGCATTGGCCTAATGATTAATGTGACCCATGAAGACTTACTTCTGTGTAGTGCTGGGAGTAGCCGAGGCCGCACAGCAGCATCCACCTCACGTTTCACACTTCACATCTGGCTTCATGCAAGGCTCCTAAGCATGCTGGATACAAACTCTGGGTACCAAGAGCTCCAGCCAGAATAAAGGAGCTTTTGTTGAGAGCCTATGACAGGAAGTTACCAACCTCTGGATCAAATCACAAGCTGTTGCTACTGACTTTTTAAGATAAGATAAATCACTAGTTTCCTCTTGAAAGGAGTTCATGAGGATTTTTATTGACTGGTGTGTGTGTGTGTGTGTGTGTGTGTGTGTGTGTGTTTAAAGTAGTCACCAAGAGGCTATGGTGTAAGTCCATCTTGGTAGTGACTGACTCTTGGCCTCTTTGGAACTGTATTAGGAAGTCTATTTTGGGAAGCAACTCCCTACTTCAGGGGCGGACTTTCCTGCACTTGGAAAGGGAAGAGTGAGCCCTTTATCCCTGCCCCTCACCACGTGGCCTGCTGCTTGGGCAGGGGGTGAAAGGTGGCCTAGTCAAGACTGCAAACTTTTCCTATGAAAGGCGGCTCTCACTGTGCCCAAGGCCTGTCAGGGACTGCCACCGGCAACTTTTCCCTTGGCTTCTTCTGAAGCAGGACATGGTTTCCCAAACTCTTTGTCAGCCAGTCCACAGCTTCTGAGCTCTTAGGGTCAAGATTAATGAAGTGAATTGGCGTGAAGCAGCTTAGAACCCATATTGTAAGTTTTCAAACTGTGTTGGCCATGTTCTTCATTTTTGAAGGGCATAGGATTGTGGTCTATTAGTAATCCCAAGAATCTCAGGGATGGACTGCAAGGCCCTAGTGCTTATTTTACAGGTGAGGGCAAGGCCTGTAATAGCTTAGCACTCAAACAAGGCTCACTCATTTCATTAACTATATCCTGGGCAATCACTAAGGACTGAGCTCTGTGCTGGATCCTGGGAGTGTGGAAGATGAGAAGAACCTGACTCTTGCCTCTGCAGAGCCAGTGCAGTACAGAGAATAGATATTAATTGTGTATTTATATAAAATAGACCACGATTATAATGGGATGCCAAGGGGGATGATAAATGCAAATTGTATTAACTATGAGCCAGATCTTATTCTAATCTTCATTAACTACCTGACCACGGCTACTACACCTTGTGAAATGGGTGTTACAACTTATCCCTATTTTCCAGATCAATAAATGAAGCTCAGAACTAATCAGAGGCAGAGTTGGGATTTGAACCCAGGGAGACTAGCTCTCAAAGATTTTGCAACATTATGGTTGTTATGTGAGTGTGCACACATACACACGTGGTACATGTCTTCATTTGAGTGCATGTGCATGGAGACCAGCGAATAACCTTGGGTGTTTTCTGCTAGTGCTGTCTACCATTTTGTTCTTTATTTGAATCAGGGTTTCTTACTGGCCTGGAACTTGCCAGTGAGTCCCAGGGATCTGTTTGTCTCTGTCTTCCCAGCACTGGGGTTATAAACACATTCTATTACATCTATTTTTTTTTTAACATGGGTTCTAGAGAACAAACTCAAGCAAACACCTTACTGAGCTGTCTTCCTAGCTCTGGTGTGTGTGTGTGTGTGTGTGTGTGTGTGCTTTCCTTTACACTGCCTCAAGATGCTATCCCAAGGTAGAGTACCCTAGAAAAATTTGGTAGCACCCCTGGCTGTAGGCTGGTTGGGGCCCAGGCAGATAAAAATTGAGCTGGTCACATGCTGCCCTTGAGCCATCCAGATGAGAAAAAAGGAGCTGCTTTCCTGTCTCATGGAGTGCATGCCTAGCCATATGGATGCTGGATGATCACATGACTTTTGAACTCTTGGGCCATGCTCAAATTTATGGTTGCAGACAGGGTAAGGATTGTATGGGCAGAGATGCCCCACCCACGAATTCAGTGGTTCAGGGAGTTCACAAGCTGGACTGGAGGTTCACCTTCGCACTGGCCATCAGCAAACACAGGCTGTGCAAGTGAGTACTCTCAGCAAGCATCCATGCATTTGTGGGAAAAGCAAGTGGCTTCGGATTACTTTGATTGCATACTTATGGGATGCCTGTGAAAATCACAGTCCAAGCATGTCTGACTCTTACAAACCAACCTAAGAGTCTTACAGTGTGCTGAGAACCAAGTACTTTTTTTTTTTTTTTTGAGCCAGGGTTTCTCTGTGTAGCTCTGGCTCTCCTGAAACTCACTCTGTAGACCAGGGTGACCTAGAATTCATAGAGATACACCTGCTTCTCCTCCTGTGTGGTGGGATTAAAAGCATGTCCCACTGTAGGGCACACGAGCCAGTCAAAGATGGCGCTGAGGGGAAGTCAGATGGGTGAGTCCTGAGTTGTTTCAAAAAAAAAAAAAAGATGATTGATTGCCTAGATCAAATCAGATGAAGTCACTGCATGAACAGTTTGTGTTCAATAGGTAAAGCATAGGGCACCCAGGCACATTATAGGCTGGCCTTTAAAACCATTGGCTGTCTGTTTTCTCCCTCTGTGGTTTTTTCCTTTAAAAGATGCTTGCTGTGTGGTAATAAACGAGTTCCTGCTTGACTAGACTCCCTGCTGCATCTGATTGTCTCCAGGATTCTTCGAGGCTGGGAAATGTGCGAGCAGCGCACTTATTCTTCCTCGGACCAGCTTAACCTTCCATGGTTGGGCTAAGACCCCCACACCCCACCACTGCCTGTTATAAGTAGATTTCTTTAAAAAAACAAAACAAAACCATTGTTTGATCATGAATTCTCTTCAGCTTAGACCTATCTCTTCCTCATCCCCTTGAACCTTCTAGAGTGAAGAATGTTATCCATTCATACCTTTTATAGGGAAGAGTTGTCCATTCACGGGGGATTGAGACTACTTGACCTCTGTTCTGGAAAGCTAAGATTATTCAACCCTACAATGGATTTCAGCCTTACACACTCAATCTTTAATCAAAGAATTTGGATGTGCATGTGTTTTCTCTCCAGAACTTGACATTTAGTGAGAATACTAGTGCCAGTCTCTAGGCTCTGCTGCCCCCTCCCCCAACACAGTGGTGAATTTGCACTCAAGTGTGCTTTATTGAATGGATTACATTGCCTTTCCATGGTTGCTGCTTCATCTTCTTTTAATAATTTATTTTTATTTAATGCTCATTGGTGTTTTGCCTGCATGTATATCTGTGTGAGGGTGTCAGAAGCCCTGGGAATGGAGTTACAGAAAGTGTGAGCTGCCACGTGGGTGATGGGAATTGAACTGGGGTCCTGCAGAAGAGCAGTCAATGCTCTTACCCACTGAGCCATCTTTCCAGCCTCTTGATGCTTCATCTTTAAGAACTGGAGAAAATTCAGTCTTCCTGAGATTGTTATGGAAATGGATGAGCCCATCTATTTTGAAATGCCCAGAGGTGCAAGTTGCTTAAATGTTAATGGAAAATGAAACAAAGACTGGTTTGTCTTTGGCAGGACCTTCCCTAAAAGGGACACTTCAATACTGACCTCACCAACAACTTGGGCAGAGATAATATAACTAACTTTTACCCACCCCACTTTACAGATGGAAACTAACTAAATTGTGAACTATAAAGTGTACTGTGTGTGTGTGTGTGTGTGTGTGTGTGTGTGTTGTGTGTGTGGTGGGGATTGATAGGGTGTCAAATGCCCTTGTCTGAGAGTCACAAAGAGCCACAAGGCAAGATGGTGTAGAGGCTGGTTGAGTCCTCATCTATATGCACAGGTTTCTTTGTTGATTGTAGCTTGTTCGTACCCATCTATCTCTATTAGAACCAGCTACTGAATGATAAAGGGACCCAGTTGGGTACTTTTGTGGCTTCCAAAGTGGACACTGCAGACCTATCTTTGATCACCATGGACTCTGTGGGCTTTGCGGAGAACTTGGCTTCTTTTTTTGGTGATGGTTTTAAAACTATCACCTCCAAAAAGAGCTCCTGAAATTTCCTGGGGCAGGGGCATGAGGCAGTAGAGAAGGAAGGAAGATAACAGCCAAAGCAGTGGTGTGGTGATGCTGTCTCTGGCTGGAGTGTGAGCTCCCCAAAGCTGCTTCTGCCTCCTTCCCTACCATTCTCCTGGAAGCTGGAGTTGTGCACAGAGAGGCTCCCAGCAACCACTGAGGAAGGAATGAGTGGATGGATGAGTGAATGATGAATGAATGAATGAGTGCCTAGATGGTGCTGAGTGTGATCCAGACAGAAAGTCGGTTATTCAGGGGGATCGAGGCACACATGCTCTGCTCCCAGGAGAGGCAGCACCCAAGGAGCTGGCATCTCTCTCTGACGCAGTCAGGGTTCTCTAATGAATGCCCCAGGTGATGACTTAGTGGAATCAACTTCTTAGCTTGTCTTGGGATTAAACCAGGGTTCCCCTTGGTACTGAGATGGAAATCAAAACAAATGCCTGTTTATCCTGAGTGCCTGTGTATTGTGGATACATTCTCTTCAGGATGTCCCTTGGAGGCAAAGCTGTGTACTGCAGGCTGATGCAATGTAGCCTCCACACAGCCTCCATCCTGCCCTTGCCCTCCTAGGTCCCTGCCCACACCAGCCCCTCTTTGTGCTTATCCTATGGGAATCCTGAGAACTCTTTCTCTGGCACAAAAACTACCTGTGGCTTCTGAACCTTCAAAGCAGACAAAGTACACTTAGCCTACCCCAACCACTGACTGGTTCTTCCTACACCTACTTCCATCCACCCCCAAAAGTGAGAGCCCATCTGGGAGACAGTGGAAGGTGACACACGTGCACAAGAAAGCAGTCACACTTTCTGGGTTCTGTCCCTGCACAAGTCTCTCTGTCCCATTTTCTCTTCTACTAGGTTATCCAGAGTGTATTCAAAGTGCTCAGCATAGGGCCTGGCATACTGCAGTATCTGGGAGAAGTGATGACCTAATGATGGGTTCTGTGTGCATGACCTGGGGATAGAGACTTAATCTCTGCCTTGGAGGAGCTTGGGACTCCTGCAGAGTTAGAAGTCCTTGGCTGACAGAGTATGGGAAGTGTGACTGAAAGAGAAAGACCAGAGAGTGGCAAGCACTTGGTAAAGGCCTGTAAGAAGGAAGGGGGTACTCTCAGGAGACTCACAAAGCTGTAAGATGTTTGGATGATAAGCAGAAAGGTCCCCAGCTTTTGGAACAGTGCCTGCAGATGAAGAAGTTGATACGTGGAGTACACACAGTACAACTGTGCACAACTGCCATGGTTCCACAATGGCAGAGGGTGGTAGGGAAGTCTGAAAGGAACTGAATATTGAGAAGTAAGCTGAAGAAAGGACTGCAATGTGACACTAGACTTGGTGTTTTTGTTTTTCAAAAGACCTCTCCAGCTGCAGACAGGACAAACTTTAGAGACAGAGACCATCATGAAGGCCTGTTATTACCTAGGTTAGACATAAAGGAAGACCTTGAGCTAAGGCAGGACAGCCAGGATGTCAAAGACAATTTAGAATATAGAATTGAAGCTGAGTGTGCAGCACTCATGAGGTCAAGGGGGTGGATCTCCATGAGTTCAAGGCCAGCCTGGTCTACATAGTGAGTTCCAGGATAGCCAGGACTATGTAGAGAGAGAAACTCTGTCTTAAAACAAACTAACCAAACCAAACCAAACATCAAAAGAAAAAAAACCCAAACAATTGAATGGAATTGGTGATTGGTGATCAATTGTGCTTGGGAAAACACATAGGAGGTGTCTAAGATAACTAGAATGTCCAACAGTAGCAATCTGGGTGCTTCCTCAACTCTTGCCACCCCAGGCTCTACAGGGCTCAGTTTGCGAGACTGTGATGGGTGAGAGTAATCAAGGGCGGGTCCACTTCAGGATGCTTGTGGTTAAGATTCCATGTGGGCCAGACGTTCAACACACACCTGGAGAACCAAGAGACGAGCTATCATGATACAAAGATGCTGATGGATGCCATGAAGGTAGTGATAGGGAGGGAGAGAGGCTCGTTGAGAGGTAGGTGCCCAGAAAGGGCCAACAGAAACACAGCTAGGTGGATCCATCAGAGAGATCCAAGAGAATCAAGAACTTAAGAGAACCATTAAGCAACTTGGATGTATAAAAGAAAGTGAAACATGATCACAAGCACCCAAGGTAGGCCATCACCACTTGAGGGCAATGAGCTGACTGTCCTTGGGGACCTACATGTGGCATATACAATGAACTTATTAACTGTGTTTAGTTGACTACTCCTCCCCTACACTCACCTGTGCAGAGCTCCTGTGGTAAGGGGAATAGTGGAGTGGCCCAGAGATGGCCGTGTCATGAGGCAGGGCTGGATACTGGCTCTGCATTGGGTGAGGATGCTGGTTGCCATAGCTCCCATAGTTATAGCTTCCCGTGTACCTGAAATGCAGCAAGTACAATGGATACTGTGAGTCATAACAGAGAAAAGTCAGTTTGACACCTTAAAAAAGTCAACCTCATCTCCTTTTTTTCTTTTTGTCGTTCCCCCCACCACCACCACTTTTTCTTCTACTTGATTCCCTCTACTCCACCCTGTTGGCTTTGCTGTGGTGAGTCTAAAACCCCAGGTTGGTTTTCCTTTTCCTCTTAGCATTCTTGGCAAGCGTACACTCAGGGAATGGAACCTGACTTTGATTAGAACATTACTGTGATGGAAACCTCTCCTCCCATTGTGTCAAAAAGCCCATTGTACATCCTGAAGTCAAACAGGGAGAACGTTGTTGCTTTGGACTTTGTGTTTCAGCATTCCTTGGACTTTGTGCTGGGCAGTAGTGGTGAAGAGCCCGAGAAACTTTATGGTGAGAAGCAGCAGCCCAGGGACACTGGTTTTGAGCTAGACCCTGCCACTGTCTAGCAATGTGATCTGGGGTTACTCACAGCTCACATCTGCAAAATGATGCACAGGGTTATAGTGGGACCACTCAGGTGAGGACAATGCCACATGTACACAGGATCATGTGTACACAGGCTGCCACTACCATGACTATATAGCATAAGATCATCCTGGCAAAGAACTGGACCTGTGGCCACATGAGTCTGTATTCTACCATCCTTGTAGATTAAAAAAAGGTCTGAAATACAGTTCTAAGAGTGCATTGTGATTATGCAGGGAAATGCCTCGGGGAATAATGACTGACCCGTTGAGATCCCAGGGGATCTGAACTGTGGGCACATAACGGACCTACAGGCCAGTCAGTGCACACCTTCAAGCCCTCCGCCTTCTGCTGGGCCACCTGTGTGGGAATTGCCTGAGATGCCCCTGCACCCCAGCTATTTGGGGGCTTCTATAGCCAGTCTGCAGGCCTGCAAGCAGCTGCAGGTGAGGCTCTCTGCACTGTGTAATTCTTCTCAATGTCAAGAGTGTTCCAAGCCACACTGCTCAGTGAATGCAGCATAGTCAGTGATGCCTGATAGACAGAACCCCCCACCCCCCCCCCCCGCCCACCTGCCCAGTGATGGAAGCCATGGGGCCTCCTGAACCTGGAGCACACTGCAGTCCTTTAGAGCCCTCCCTACCACAGGTAGGGGAGACCACCTTTAACTAGAGTCTGAAGAGACAAGGACACACTGTGAGTAAAGATCTACTCGGGGAACTGCTGGGAAGGGATGTGAGTGATGAACTTCAGCTTTGGAGTGAGACATGCTCACTTGGGGCTCCACAATTTGCCAGCTGCCTTGGGGAGCTACGGGGCCATTCATCCTTTCGTCCCTCCTTCCTCATCTGCATATAGTGGGGGTTATGCAGACAGTTCCATAAGGGTATAGCTGAGTAACGTGTGCAGACTAACCAGAAGGTAGCCTGTCCTGCAATCTGTGGAAACGATGACTGTCTGAACCCTTCTCAAGTTCAATGCTGAGCAAGTCACCTACCCATGCTCCTCTCTGTGGGAGTAGACTGGTATCCTGTGTGTGACAGAAGAAGAAGGCATATGCGTGCTCCTCATACAGGGAAGTTGTTGGGAGTTCTCAGCTGGGGACCCAGCAGCTGTCGTCACTGTGTATGTTAGCGACCACGTATATGACTGCATTGCTCCTACAGAGACAGATGGTATTACATTGGTCACTAACAGTTTGTCTTTAGAATGCTACAGTGGCTTCCCACTGCTCCTAAGCTGATGCCAAAATCATTCATGACAAGGCATTCTCTGGTCCAGCTCACCTTACCAGAAGTCTCCGTTGCAGCCCTGGTCTAGCTACAGAATTATTTTCTCCAGAGTACCACAATCTCTAGCTTCACAGGACCTGGCACATGCTGCTTCCACTGCCTAGAATGCTCATTCTTCCCTTACGACCCACTCAGGCTTCATATATGAGTCCAGAAACATGGTCTGCTAACTGCAGACTAGGTGAGGCCCCTTGGGTGCCTTGTAGGTCTTTGTGGTACCTACATTAATATTCAGTTCCCATTCTGGAAGGTATGTGGTTTGATTCATGTCCAGCCCTCCCCCACACCAGAGTGGAGGCTAGGTGTGTGTCAGTCTGCCCAACCTGGCATTTAGGAGAATGCCTGTCTGTCCAGATACACTCAGTAAAAAAAAGCTTAAGAGGAAGAAGAGGACAAGAAAAACAGGAAGAGAGGAAGAAAAAGAATGCAAAGCCTGGCACAGTGTGATCCAGGCAGTGGCAAATGAACTTTTCATGCTCAACTTAACAGGTGTTACAGAGTCAGCAAATTGCTTTGAATAAAGTAAGAAGATCCCTTGGGCTCTCTGGTTGAAGATTGGTGGTTGGTACCCTATGGCCTATCCCACACACATTGCTTATTCCACTCACTGCCTTTGAACTGGATACCTAAAACTGCTAAGGACTGGGGGTGGGGGGAGAGTTTGAGAGGGAGCCTGACGAAGGCTAATATTTTTATATTTTATAGATGGTTACAAGAATTTTAAAACTTGCTAAAAGCAGTAAACTCATTTTAGACAACTTAATTTCTGATAAATTTTAAAATATTAAAACAGCAGAAATAAAACCTGTTTTACAAGGTTTAAGGAACAGGATTCAGTATCCCTTTGGGTACACAGGAGCTGGAGAATTGACTAACGTGATATTTTTAAGAGCAAATAAAACAGGCGGTGGAGAAATGGCTTCATGATTAAGATTGCTCTTTCAGAACCTAAGTTCAATTCCCAGCACCCACATGACTTCTTCTGGCCATCAGTAACTTTAGTCCCAGGGCATCCATCTCTCTATTCTGGCCTACATGGGCACCAGGCAAACATGTGGTGCATACACATATAGGCAAGGAAAATACCCATATACACCATGCAAGATAAAAGTAAATTTTAAAAAAGATGAAACAAAAATCCTGTATTGTCTACATAAGCCCATTTCTACCTTAAAACTCCTAGACAAAGGAAGAGTTTGCATATTAGAATTCAGTCTGTTAGGATAGGAGAGATGGCACAGAGGTTGAGAGCACTGGCTGCTCTTCCATGGGTCCTGAGTTCAATTCCCAGCAACCACATGGTGGCTCAGAGTCATGGGTAATAAGATATGGTGCCCTCTTCTGGCCTGCAGCAATATGTGCCAACAGAATGATGTATACATTAAAAAAAAATTCAATCTGCCCTTCCCCCAAAGCTTTGCTGGCAGCACAGGAAATAGCTTGACATGGGGTGGCAAGGCCGGAGGGGGAGAACTGGTGGATTGGCACTATGTTGTTTGCATGGCAGAGACCTGGCAAGGAAGAGTCATGAGGGAAAGTGCCTTGCACTATGAACATATGCAAATCTGCAAACTTGGAATGCAGGTAATATCGCTCTTAATAAGGTGGCAATGATTTACTTCAAGAGCATAACAATGTGTTGTATTTTATTGAGCATCTATTAAGGCTAGGCACTGAGCTAAGTGCTCTCTCCACAAATATCCTTAAATTAAAAAAAATATGGAAACATGTAGAAGCACAGAGGATTTGAGAATATGCAAATGGAAGAAGGAAGAAGAGCCAGCGTGGAAAAAAAAAAGTGTAATTAGGAATCTGGTGAAATGGCGTTTCCTAAGTGCCTGTCTCCCTTCACATGGCCTTTACCCTAACCCTGGCTTTTCTGGGACCTGGTGCTACAGTTAGGAGCCTTATGACAGGTAACATGTGCCCATTGTCCTTGGATTTGCATCATGTGGGAGCTTCTTTCAGAGAGCCACATAAAGAAGCCACACTAACCTGTGCCATGTCATCAGTAACCCCATAGTGGACTTCATCTAGATTCTTAAGACAGCTCCTTGTATCAGCACTGGCTGAGGGAGAGAGGCTTCATAGGATGATGAATGGCTTGCCCGAGGTCTCAGAACACATGGGTGGTCAGTGGGGCCCAGGTCAGCCCCACACTTTCTCCTCTCTCTGCCTGTGTGTCTCTGTGCTCTGAAACCTACCATGTATTAGCTGGAAGATGCTGAGAAAGCCTCTCAAATCTTAGGGACCTTTGCTTCACTCTGTAAAATGGGACTAGTCATCTCTATCTTACAAGGCTATTGTAAGGATTAAGATAATATGTGACAAAGAACCTGACATGCAGTGGGTTTTAATGAGATTCAGGCACTACTCTCTTTGAGTTCAGGTATTCTAGTGTCCTTTTGTGCATATGGTATATGTGTACATGTTTGGGGGGTAGGCATGTGTGTTGAGGCTAGAGATCAATGTTGGGTGTCTTGCTCAGTTGTTCTTCACTTTTGTTTTGAGACAGGGTCTTTCTCTGAACCTGGAGTTTGTGAGTTCAGCTAGGCTGGCTGGTCAGTGAGCCAGGGATCCATGCACCTTGCTTCCCTAGGACTGGGATTATAGACATGTGCCACCCCAGCTGGCTTTGCCAACTTAGTCATCTCCCCAGCCCCTTCTTTTTGTTTCTTGTTTTTAACTTTAAATTTTGTTTTTGAAATAAAAATAATAATTACTATTATTGCTGGGGTGCATGTCACCACCTGCTTGTAGAGGTCAGAGGACAACTTTGTGGACTTGAGTTCCTTCCATCTCTACTCAGACTTATTCAGAAGTTCTTTTGTCTGCAGAGGCCTGCCCCCAGTCCCAGCCCTCCTAGAAGTCCCTTACAGTATATTTCTATGCCCCCCGTTCCAGATTCTAAGGAAGAAGACAAGCTTTTTGGGTCAATCTTATCATCAGACACTATATTATTCTATGGTTGTTTGTCTTATTGTTTTGAAACAGGGTCTCACTCTGATTTCAATCCTCCTGTCCCGACCTCTCTACTGCTGAGATTACATGTGTACTATAGTCTGTGTCTTAAGGTTCGTGTGTTAAAGGCTTGATGCCTAGAGTGTTTAAGAGGCAGGGCCTAGGGCTGGAGAGATGGCTCAGAGGTTAAGAGCACTGATTGCTCTTCCAGAGATCCTGAATTCAGTTCCCAGCAACCTCATGGTGGCTTACAACCATCCATTATGAGATCTGGTGCCCTCTTCTGGTGTGCAGATATACATGGAAGCAGAACGTTGTATACATAATAAATAAATAAATAAATAAATAAATAAATAAATAACTAAATAAATAAATAAGAGGCAGGGCCTAGTGGGGGTTTGGGGTCATGACAGGCACATGACCATGAAGGAGGTTATGGGAGCCTAGCCTCCTCTTCACTCTCTTCCACTTCCAAGCCATCAGGTGAGTGGTTTTTCTTCACCATGGGCTTCAGCCATGATGTGCCACCCCAACCCAGAGCACCAGGGCCTACTTAAGACCCTCACAACTGAGCCAGAATAAATTGTGTCAATTACTTGTTACAATAATGAAAAGCTAGCACACTTGGGATGGAATGTGACTTGCCTGTGACTGTAAGATAGCCAATTACAGTAAACTTCTAAAGAATGTGTTTCTGTGACATCACTGGTGCCCTCATTCAGAAAGTGAGAAGTACCTTTCTTTCTGCATTTCACATCTGTCACATTCTTCCCCAGGTACACTGTTAGAAATCATATATAAACTACCCCAAAGAGTGGCTTCATCGGGAGCGTTGTTGGATATCATTCCTAAGAGTGGCACAAAGATCAGAAGAGGAAACTCCCAAGATGATCAGGTGATGAGGTGATGGGGTGACTGGATTAGACACAGTCCCCTTCTCTGTGCTTTAAATCTCCTCAGAGGGGCTGAAGAGACCGTTCCATTGGAAAGTGATTGCTGTGCAAGTGTGAGGACCTGAGCCCAGATTTTTAGATGGTTATAAAAAAGCTGGGAGGGGCTGTGTGCCTGTAATACCAGTCTGGGGAGGTGAAGACAGGAAGATCCTGGACCAGTAGCCAGCCAGCTCCAGGTTCAGAGAGGGACCTTTCTTACAAAACAAGGTAGAGAGCAGCCACAGAGGAAACTACCTGACACCCACCTCTGGCCTCTGCATGGAGGTACTTGTGAACACACGATCATGACTGAAACACACACACACACACACACACACACACACACACACACACACACACACACACTAAATACCATGAGATTATAGCACTCTTAAAATTTTAAATCCCCCCCCCCTTTTTTTTTTACTAAAATGCACTATTTCTGGGTAAGAAAGTGGATGATTTTTAAAATTTTGGTTTTGTTTTGTGTTTTTATGTAACAAATACATATTGCTTCTGTGAAAGGAATTCATGAAAATGTAAATAGATTTACTACCAGAAACTGTGATGGGCTTGAAAAGTTTGAGACACTAATGAGCCAGTCACAACAAACAAGTGCTTAACTCTTCAAGCCCTGGTTATACCTCAGGGCAGTGGGCAAAGTTGGTGGCTATTTATAGGAGCAGTTAAAGAAGGCAGAGGGTTTTGTCTAGGCAGTAGTAAGACTTGGTGGGATAGCCATCACCTGAGGGAATGCAGCAGAAGTTACTTTTGTCTGAACCCATGGAGCACAGCAACTGTTAATTCAAGTCTCCATCCCAAGCATCAGGCCTGCCAAGTAGTAAGTGTTCAGTAAAATTTGATTCCGTTGAATCTGTTGTGGAAGGAGCCAACGCTGCTAGGAATAGCCCTTATCAAACAAAAAGCTAGTAGAACTCCTGGGAAAATGGGACCCTGCAGTCTAGGGAACAAAAC